ACATTTCACTACTCAACACCCTCTTTTTATACCAAAAACACTTGAAAACAACCCCTATATACTACCCATTTTATTACATACAGTTTTGTTAACCATCTAACCCTCCTAACAAGTTCTAAATTATCTCATGACGGTACTAAAACAGTTCCCATAACATTTCCATACCTATTTCTAAATTTCACTACCCAAAATCTCTCCTTTTTAAGCTTAAAATCTAAGCAACTTGATCCTTACTCTCAGAACTTATTGAATTCTGTTTCAAACAATAAAATATACTCATCACACACAATTAAAATAGTATACAACATCAATCATATCATCATGCAAATTACAATAACACTACATCATCAAAACACTAATTTAACATACGATAAATTTACCCAAACACACTAATTTTTTTACTAAACGTCTATAATTTATATAATTACTAAATTTACACTACAAACACAATTAAACAAAGTTTAGCTTCTCTTACCTCAAAATAACAGCTCAACCCAAAGAAACGTTCCGCCAGTCGCTTGAAACGCAAGAAATTTCTAGACGAACTTGCTCTAAAACATAAATTGATCAGTTAGATTTGAAAGCGTTGATGCCATGATCATATAGGCACCTCCTGATCGTCAAACATATGACTCAAGAGCAAGAACATTTAGAAAAAAGTAGAGAACTCTAGAAAAGTGATTTCTAAAGAGATTATGCGTTTTAAAATAATAAAATTCTTTTATAACAAAACTATTTATAACTAAATTATTTAATATTAAAATAACCGAGTTTCACTATTTTTAAACTATCCTCACTTCTAAAATACTATTTTATGGGGTTTTACAATAATTATATAATATCATGATTAAATTTCAAATTTTTTTTATAAATTTAAATATTTTTAATTATCTTTTTATTAAATTTTTTTAATTAAAATTTTTATATTTTTCAATTATTATTTTTTCTGAGGGAGGTGATGTTATCTTGCATTATTTTATTGTTTATTTGTATTCACGTATTAAAAAAAATATAAGTTTATGCTATTACTAATAACAAGTGACATTTTTTCTCACTTTGAACAAAGTCACCATCCTTCCTTATTTCCATCTTATCACCTATATAACTATCAAGAGTTCTATTAAATGGTCCATGTTATTTAAGAGAAAGTGAATGAGTTTAGGGAATCTGAATAACCAAAACATCAGAAAATAGAACCACAACAACTACTATTGCTCTTAATAGTATCAATTTCTTTACCAGAAAATTATTCTGTTTCACCAGAAACTATTGGTTAGAAACCAAATACATTAATTCATAATTAGACTCAGAAGAGTAATTTATAATAAGATATGTGAAGATAATAACAAATAAATAACAAATCAATAACAAAATGACACATATATCATATCAACATATTACTACAAAAACTGTCTCAAAATATTTATTTCCTCTTCTAATTAACCAGACACATCTTAGTACACTTCAAATTTAGTCACGAAAATCCTATCACATGATCCTTAGCTTGAGAAGGTAGAAGCATGCTTAGCACATTTACGAACCTTAGCAGTGTTGCATTGAAGAAAGAAATAATTGATTTCTTCCTCAACCAATTCTCTTAATCTTTGCTCTAAATCCTAAGCCTTGGACCTTTAATTTTTATTCTAAATCCTAAACTTTAAATCAATTAAAAAAACATAAAGCTACTTAATTCTTATACGGCAAAACCAAGCTCTGAACATAATCATAAGAGGAAAGATTAAATTTGTCCTTGTCGTAAATTTCACGACCCTCCATTCTATTGTCTCTGATGTTCCACCAAATAAATTCTGATTTTGATTCGAGACCCGTGTCTGCAAGCAGCACGATATCATCCTTCTCACGCATACAAATCATGTCTATGTAACGTGGACAGTAGTAACAAATTGAAGGACGATTCTTATAATGCAGCAACTTTGACCAAGATTTTTCATCCCGAAAGTCCCTCTTCAGCCACACAATAAAATCATTCTCATGATAATGAGAAAGACAAACAACCATTCAAAACCTCAAGCGCAGCCTCATCAAGACTAACTTCTAAAATCCCATCAGGCATAGAGAAATAACTGCAACTCTCCTTCTTCAGATCGTAAGAAAATATTTCTAACTCGTTCATTTTAGTTTCATCATCACCAGCGCGGGATTTCGGATATGCTAACCAGTTTAAAGTACCACACACAAAAGCACCACAAATTCCACGAAGCCTACGGTCCATCAGAATGTGAACAGCATCACAAATTAAAGTATTTCTCCAACAATTATCCTCTAAAGAACAAACTTTTACCTCCAGTTTCTGTGATTGATTCCTGTTATTATCCAATAACACAACTTGGTAAGTGTCACTCCATTCATCGTACCCAAACCCATACACCAACCAGAAAGGATATACATAATCGCTGTGATTAACACGAATATGTGGGTACTCATTACTCGTCACCCTTGTTGCGGGATTCCCCATCCAAAACCAGTATTCTTCAAATTCGAATTCATCGTTAGCACAAGAATCTTGTAAGCACACCAAGCCGTTGCAGGAACCCAAAAAACTGTTCTTGCGGTTGAAGTGGAGATGTCTGTGAGGTAAAGTTTCGAGGGTGGATGATGGGTTTTCAAATAAATCTTGTATAGGACAAACGACGGCATAATGTTTTGTTCTATAGCTAGGGGAATCATCCAAAAAGGTCAATAACGTGTGAGTGTCTTTTGAGGACCTTTGAAGGTGAAGTTTCACAAATGCAGAATCAGAGACAAGTTGGTTCCACCCTTTTGAAACGCACTTGAATCGCAGGAGATCTTTCACCGGAAGCCACGACAGAATTTCCATCATCATATCTTTGGAAAGAACGCGACTAGTCTTGGAAGAAGACATTGATGAAGAAGGAGAAAACCTATTTTACACAAAGATGCAAATATTTAACTGTTAGAGGAAAAAAAATGCAGATTGAAGAAGGAAAAAACAGAGAAGGAAAGACAAGTGATCACAGTGACGATGAAAAGTTGTTGCATGCTGCAAGATTTTATAGACAGAATGTGGATCCACACGCATTCAATTTTCTCAAGAAGACGAAGAAATACTATTGAAAATTATACTATCATATACCCAATAGTTTTTAACAAATCACTAATTTATTTTAAGAATACAACATTCTACTAATCACTCTTATACATAATTTTTATTTTATTTTCTAGAAAAATAAAGAGATACGCAAGAACCTTTTTTTGGATCTTACCAAATCTTCAACGTCGATTTTGGAATAAGTGGAGAAATCCTAAAGATGATTTCGTTGCTCGTTTTGAGTGGAAAACTCCTCCTGGTTGACGAAAGAAAGAGATCTACCTACAATATAAAAAATACTAATTTTCTCAAGAAGAAGAAAGAAATACGATTGAAAATGATATTATCACACACACCCAACAAATTTTAACAAATCACTAATTTATTTTAACAATACAACATTCTTTTAATAATCCATAATTTTTTATTTTGTAANCTCTCCTTTTTAAGCTTAAAATCTAAGCAACTTGATCCTTACTCTCAGAACTTATTGAATTCTGTTTCAAACAATAAAATATACTCATCACACACAATTAAAATAGTATACAACATCAATCATATCATCATGCAAATTACAATAACACTACATCATCAAAACACTAATTTAACATACGATAAATTTACCCAAACACACTAATTTTTTTACTAAACGTCTATAATTTATATAATTACTAAATTTACACTACAAACACAATTAAACAAAGTTTAGCTTCTCTTACCTCAAAATAACAGCTCAACCCAAAGAAACGTTCCGCCAGTCGCTTGAAACGCAAGAAATTTCTAGACGAACTTGCTCTAAAACATAAATTGATCAGTTAGATTTGAAAGCGTTGATGCCATGATCATATAGGCACCTCCTGATCGTCAAACATATGACTCAAGAGCAAGAACATTTAGAAAAAAGTAGAGAACTCTAGAAAAGTGATTTCTAAAGAGATTATGCGTTTTAAAATAATAAAATTCTTTTATAACAAAACTATTTATAACTAAATTATTTAATATTAAAATAACCGAGTTTCACTATTTTTAAACTATCCTCACTTCTAAAATACTATTTTATGGGGTTTTACAATAATTATATAATATCATGATTAAATTTCAAATTTTTTTTATAAATTTAAATATTTTTAATTATCTTTTTATTAAATTTTTTTAATTAAAATTTTTATATTTTTCAATTATTATTTTTTCTGAGGGAGGTGATGTTATCTTGCATTATTTTATTGTTTATTTGTATTCACGTATTAAAAAAAATATAAGTTTATGCTATTACTAATAACAAGTGACATTTTTTCTCACTTTGAACAAAGTCACCATCCTTCCTTATTTCCATCTTATCACCTATATAACTATCAAGAGTTCTATTAAATGGTCCATGTTATTTAAGAGAAAGTGAATGAGTTTAGGGAATCTGAATAACCAAAACATCAGAAAATAGAACCACAACAACTACTATTGCTCTTAATAGTATCAATTTCTTTACCAGAAAATTATTCTGTTTCACCAGAAACTATTGGTTAGAAACCAAATACATTAATTCATAATTAGACTCAGAAGAGTAATTTATAATAAGATATGTGAAGATAATAACAAATAAATAACAAATCAATAACAAAATGACACATATATCATATCAACATATTACTACAAAAACTGTCTCAAAATATTTATTTCCTCTTCTAATTAACCAGACACATCTTAGTACACTTCAAATTTAGTCACGAAAATCCTATCACATGATCCTTAGCTTGAGAAGGTAGAAGCATGCTTAGCACATTTACGAACCTTAGCAGTGTTGCATTGAAGAAAGAAATAATTGATTTCTTCCTCAACCAATTCTCTTAATCTTTGCTCTAAATCCTAAGCCTTGGACCTTTAATTTTTATTCTAAATCCTAAACTTTAAATCAATTAAAAAAACATAAAGCTACTTAATTCTTATACGGCAAAACCAAGCTCTGAACATAATCATAAGAGGAAAGATTAAATTTGTCCTTGTCGTAAATTTCACGACCCTCCATTCTATTGTCTCTGATGTTCCACCAAATAAATTCTGATTTTGATTCGAGACCCGTGTCTGCAAGCAGCACGATATCATCCTTCTCACGCATACAAATCATGTCTATGTAACGTGGACAGTAGTAACAAATTGAAGGACGATTCTTATAATGCAGCAACTTTGACCAAGATTTTTCATCCCGAAAGTCCCTCTTCAGCCACACAATAAAATCATTCTCATGATAATGAGAAAGACAAACAACCATTCAAAACCTCAAGCGCAGCCTCATCAAGACTAACTTCTAAAATCCCATCAGGCATAGAGAAATAACTGCAACTCTCCTTCTTCAGATCGTAAGAAAATATTTCTAACTCGTTCATTTTAGTTTCATCATCACCAGCGCGGGATTTCGGATATGCTAACCAGTTTAAAGTACCACACACAAAAGCACCACAAATTCCACGAAGCCTACGGTCCATCAGAATGTGAACAGCATCACAAATTAAAGTATTTCTCCAACAATTATCCTCTAAAGAACAAACTTTTACCTCCAGTTTCTGTGATTGATTCCTGTTATTATCCAATAACACAACTTGGTAAGTGTCACTCCATTCATCGTACCCAAACCCATACACCAACCAGAAAGGATATACATAATCGCTGTGATTAACACGAATATGTGGGTACTCATTACTCGTCACCCTTGTTGCGGGATTCCCCATCCAAAACCAGTATTCTTCAAATTCGAATTCATCGTTAGCACAAGAATCTTGTAAGCACACCAAGCCGTTGCAGGAACCCAAAAAACTGTTCTTGCGGTTGAAGTGGAGATGTCTGTGAGGTAAAGTTTCGAGGGTGGATGATGGGTTTTCAAATAAATCTTGTATAGGACAAACGACGGCATAATGTTTTGTTCTATAGCTAGGGGAATCATCCAAAAAGGTCAATAACGTGTGAGTGTCTTTTGAGGACCTTTGAAGGTGAAGTTTCACAAATGCAGAATCAGAGACAAGTTGGTTCCACCCTTTTGAAACGCACTTGAATCGCAGGAGATCTTTCACCGGAAGCCACGACAGAATTTCCATCATCATATCTTTGGAAAGAACGCGACTAGTCTTGGAAGAAGACATTGATGAAGAAGGAGAAAACCTATTTTACACAAAGATGCAAATATTTAACTGTTAGAGGAAAAAAAATGCAGATTGAAGAAGGAAAAAACAGAGAAGGAAAGACAAGTGATCACAGTGACGATGAAAAGTTGTTGCATGCTGCAAGATTTTATAGACAGAATGTGGATCCACACGCATTCAATTTTCTCAAGAAGACGAAGAAATACTATTGAAAATTATACTATCATATACCCAATAGTTTTTAACAAATCACTAATTTATTTTAAGAATACAACATTCTACTAATCACTCTTATACATAATTTTTATTTTATTTTCTAGAAAAATAAAGAGATACGCAAGAACCTTTTTTTGGATCTTACCAAATCTTCAACGTCGATTTTGGAATAAGTGGAGAAATCCTAAAGATGATTTCGTTGCTCGTTTTGAGTGGAAAACTCCTCCTGGTTGACGAAAGAAAGAGATCTACCTACAATATAAAAAATACTAATTTTCTCAAGAAGAAGAAAGAAATACGATTGAAAATGATATTATCACACACACCCAACAAATTTTAACAAATCACTAATTTATTTTAACAATACAACATTCTTTTAATAATCCATAATTTTTTATTTTGTAAAAATGTAAAGAGAATCAAAAGAACATTTTTTTCCATCTTACCGAATCTTGAACGTTGATTTTGGAATAAGTGGAGAAACCCTAAAGATGGTTTGGTTGCTCCTTTTGGGTGGAAAAGCCCTCCTGCTTGATGAGAAAGAAAGATCTGTCTCCCCGAGAAGTTATTATAAAATGAACATTTTTCAAAATATTAGTGGTATTTATAGAATTAAAATAGATGATCCATGTTTCTATTATAATAATAAAAAAAGAGTATAATAACATTATAATAATAGAAAAATAAATAATAATCAATATATAAATTATAATATGTAAATATATGGTCCAAATATGTTTGGACTACTTTATAATGAAAGATCTTACTGGGTGTGTCGCTCTTAATACACCTATGGAGAAAGAGAGATACTCCCTCCACCTCCACTCAATACTCAATACTTCTTGTATCTTCATGACCAAATTGTTTTGGAGTAAATTTTCACTAATAACATTAACCTACTTTCATTAATTACTGTTCTCCTCTCCTCCATAACAAATGCACCCCCACACTAGGAACCTCTACACACGTAAATCATTTATCCGTTTCTTCTTCTTCTTCGCGAGCGAGATTGTGGTGGTGGGGTAAGTCTGCGTGGTGTGAGTCGGTGTGGTGGTGGGCTGTGCTGGAACGTTGCAAGTGGGGCTGACAAGGAACCACAATGGTGAGAGATCGGTTTGTGGTGCTTATCGGAACAACGAGCGATGTCAATACTTCAACGGATGTGATGATCCGTCGACGGATATTAACATCCGCTGAAGGGTAACAGATGTCAATATCCGTTTCCCCTTCAACGGATGTTGATAACCGTCAACGGATCATCACATCCGTTGAAGGATTGCATAACTTTTAATTTTTGAGTTTTTGGTTTATAATTTTTTATAATGTTAGGACATCCGTAGAAGTGTTTTAGGTGTTTTTTTATTTTAGTATTTTTGATTTTGTATTTTATTTGTTTTGTTATTTTTTAATTTATTTTTATATATGTAATAATGTTATAATATTAAGGTGAAACTGGAACGGATGTCAGCAAATCCGTTGACGGATATGCCATATCCGTGAGAGTAATTTAGTATTTAGGTTTTTTAAAAAAAATTGATAATGAAACGATCTGCCACATCGGTGAACGGATGTGGCGACATCCGTTAAAGGTGTGGGTTTTTTAATATTAAGTTAATCTTTAAAATTTAATGCTTTTTATAATATTTTGTTTAATTAAATGTAAAATAATTTTATTTGATTTAATGAAATAATTATTATTAATTTAATAAAATAATTATTAGTTGAATGAAATATAGTTGACGTATGGGTATAAGTTGAATGTATAATATGTAGATAAATATTTTTTTATGTGTTTATATGAATGTTGTTTATACTTATTTAATTAATTATATATCAATGTTAATGACAATAATTGTAATTGTACAGGTGATTATTATCTAAAGTGAATAAACATCTTCGTATGGATTCTCAAATTGATTATAGTTTTATATCCGATTTCTCTTCGTTCATCAACGAAGTTGTAGAGAGAGATTTGACAAATAAATTTACCACAAATGAAATATTTCTTTCTCGGGAGTAGTTAATTGAATGGGTAAGAGGGATTGCTTATGATTTAGGGTTTGTTGTTGTAATAGTGAGGTCTGACATAGCTACTGGTGTGCGAGGAAGAAAAACTTTTGTCATACTTGGATGTGAAAGAGGGGGGAAATATTGGAAATAAAACCCGATGCGGTGGCTAGTGTATACGACACTCGTAAATGTGAGTGTCCGTTTAGGCGTCATTTGAATCAAGTTTGTTGCTTACGAGTGACCTTTATAAAGGATATAGATATAAACATGTTAAAAAAAAAAAACCGCCCACATCCGTTTCGCCTTCAACTTCAAACGGATGTGCGACATCCGTCGACTGGATATGGGACATCCGTTTCAGTGCCAAACGGATGTGCGACATCCGTTCTGGCGCTCCGGTCATCTTCTTCACATAAACACCACAACAGATAATCCCAAACGCACCCACAACACCCATCCGCGATCAAAACAACCCACTAAACCAAACATACAACACCTATTCAATTCAAAAATTTTAAACAAAACTAACCTCCACCAGCAGCTTTCTCCACCCAACACACCACCCACGAATCACCGACGTACCACCACCTCCACACCACCGCAACACGAACACCCACACCATCGGACCACCAACGGCTCTCCAACGGCACCAAACGGATCTCACGAAGACAATGACTGATGGATGTGGGAAGAGAGTGAGAGACGGATGTGGGAAGAGAGTACGACGGATGTGGGAAGAGAGTGAGAGACAGATGTGGGAAGAGAGTGAGACAGAGTGGGGGAGGGGGGAGGGTGCGACTCTGAGTGAGAGGAAAGATGAATAATTATTTAGAGTTTTAAAGTTAAAGTAAAAAGTTAAAATTTTAAGAGTGATTTTGTCATTACAAATTTTATAGAGAGATGTAGGAAATATCGGTGGTGATAGAGGGAGCAACCTTCATGAAGAAAGGGTATTTAACCCTCCACCTCCAACCCTTTCACCTTATGGTAAAAAATTCTTAAAGAGCGTTTCATTATGTATTTCTAACTTTTTCAAAACATTCTACTTTAAATCTTTAAAAAAACATATTTTTTTTAAAAAAATTCTCATTCTTATTAAAGTACCCCTTTCACACTACATCTCTTTAACAAATTTTAAAATCCGTAGATTTTGAAATCCCATTCATAATTTTTTTAAATTTTATTTTTAGATTTAAAATTTAATAATAATATAATTTAATTTAATATTTTAATATTATTTGATATACATTTTTATTTTAATAATTATTAAAATATAACTTTTATTATTATAATATTTATATTAAAATAAAAAATAAAAATAATTAAAATAAAAATAGTAATAATGAAAATAAAAATAGAAAAAAAAAAGAAAACAATAATATAAAATCTGGTTTAATATATTTAAATATATTAAATTATATTAAAATACTAAATTAAATAAAATAATTATTAAAAATTAAATAAAAAAAATTTTGGTTAGTCGAATATCCAAATCGGTTAAGATATTTTTCTAATTTTTTTATTTAAATTTTCATAATTATTTAATTTAATTAAAATTCTAATATTATTTAATATATTTTAATATTTTAAGAATAATTAAAATATAATTATATTATAATAATAGTTATGTAAAAAATAAAATTAAAATAATTAAAATAAAAATAGTAATGATAAAAAATAATATTAATATAAAATTTGATTTAATATATTTCAATATATTAAATTATATTAAAATATTAAATTAAATTAAATAATTATTAAATTTTACATAGAAAACTAAATTTTAAAAAACTTTGGCATATCAAAACCGGAGGTTAAAATTATTTCTTTTTTATTGGATATCAATATTCGATAAAGTTATTTTTTTAAATATGTTTTATTTAAAGTCTAATAATTATTAAATTTAATTTAAAATTTTAATATTATTTATAATATTTTTATATTTTAATAATTACTAAAATATGATTTATATTCTTAGAATATTTTTATTAAAAAAATAAAAATTAAAATAATTAAAATAAAAGTATTAATAATAAAAGAAAACTAAATTTTGAAAAACTTGCGGATTTTCGCGGTTAAAAGTATTTCTTTACCGGATATGAATATCCAATAAAGTTATTTTTTAAAATATTGTATTTTATTTATAGTTTAATAATTATTTAATTTAATTTAAAATTTTAATGTTATTTATAGTATTTTTATATTTTAATAATTATTAAAATATGATTTATATTTTTAGAAAAAAATTATTAAAAAAATTAAAATTAAAATAGTTAAAATAAAAGTATTAATAATAAAAGTAAAAAAAACAAAAATAAAAATAACAATTTTGAATCAGATTTAGTATATTTAATAAAAAAATATATTTATTAAAGTTAAAAATTGAATTTTTAAAAAAAGTTAGAGATGTAGGTCAAACACCCTAAATTAAAAGTGTTTAAAAATCTTTCATCAGATTTTTTTTTTAATTTTCTACAAATTAAATGCATTTTTAATTAAGAACAAAATTGATATTTTTTTAAAATTTGAAGGTACAAAATGAAAGGGTTGGAAGTGTAGTGTAAAACACTCGAGAAGAAAACCTCCTCTTTGGTAATAGTGATTATCACGTATTAAATATAAAATAAATATTTCTTAAAAAATATTTATTGTATTTATAATATCAACATATATGTTTGCATTAAAATAATACAATAACGCTCTAATACATATAGAAGAAGTAATAACCAATGTTATAATTTATAACATGTGAATATAATCCAAATAAATGTAAGCTTAAACTATTTTATAATAATTATTAGACACTCTTAATATATCTTTTGAGTCCGTATGATTATCACCTCTATTTTTTTAATTAATTTATTTAATATATTTTTGCCCCATAAGGAGAAAAAGATTAATAATATATTCTGTTAAAACTTGGAAGTAAAAGTGGTTTAAAAAGGAAGAAAAATACATGGTAAGAAGTTGCTTTGATTGTTTAAATTTGTGTTGAATATAAATGAAAATTTAATATTAACTTCCCAATACAAACTTTCTAATTTATGTCGTTATTAGTCTCTTTAATATAAATTGAGTGCATTAATTCCAATAACTAAGGGATTTAAAGAAATACCTTTTTAAAACAAATATGGAAAGTTTTAAGAAAGAATAGTTTCTTCTTCCCACAAAAAAATGTTTGTTTTTGAGAATGAATTTAGAGAGTAAATTTGAGGAGAATG